CTATCCATAGTTAAATGGAGTATTACCAATAGACTGTCCAGACTGTCGTTGATCAAAAGCGTTGCCGCAATTTTTAAACCACCTGTAGGTAAGATGATTGACGGCTGTGTTTTTACACTTCACAACTTTTTAGTGTCGATTGTTCACACAGCGATGTAAAATTTGTAAATCGACAGCCGGATTAAAACAATACTGCTAAAAACAACTTGGTCTGTAACGATCATATTTCCGAGGAACAGTACTGTTGCAAACATTACCTCAAGCTTTCACGTATCAYTATGACTTCAAAGGAAACAATTATTAACAATACCTTGATCTAACCCACCATTCATTTGCTATTATAAATAGACGTCAYTGAATTATGGTTGGATAAGTACAAAGCACAAGCCAGGAAAATACCACTGGAACAACTCCTGTAAAACCATGTTAAGAAGCTATGCTTTGCGAAGAAATTGGGCAAATTGCATGTAGTGCTKGACAAAGTCAAGGAACAGACAGTGTAGCCCTTTTCATAACCTGGTATTTTCCCCATCATCGTCATCCAGAGTCAAGTTATTGATGCATTCAAAGGCATCCGTCACTGCTTTAATAAATTCTGTTTGACTCTTAGTCAGTTCTTGTCTCTTTGAAGAAGGGACGCTGGACACCTTGTCACGTAACACTACAACATCATCATCTGTCTTATCTAAACTTGACTGTGCACTAAAGTAGGCAGTGGTTTCTTCCAATGGGATTACAGCACCAATAGCAACAATTGATTCATCCACGTTCTTTAACAGTCCCGTTGTCTCATACTCGTTCAGTCCGATCGATTCATCTGCGTTTTTTAACAGATCGGTGTCGGGATTTTCAGTTAATTGGTGATTTGAAAATGAGCTTTTCTCTTTTGACGTAGACGTTTCCTCCTTTCGACATGTTTTGATAACATCCAAGTATTTGGTTTGCAAGGAAGAGACAGCTGTACCGGTAGAATACCTTTTATGGTAAGGACTTGACTCTGCTGTAGTAAAACCTTGGCAATCGGTGAATGACTCGTCCTCTGAGCTCGAAGGACCGAAGTAAGTATCTTCAGATGTAAACTGAACTTCAGGAGAATCGTTCTTTAGTTCGTTAATATCACTGAAAGCATCAAAGAATACCTCTGACTGACGGTTGGTGAGCGTGCTAGAGCGATAGTTCCTTTCATTGTCGATCTGTTCATCGCATTTTGAACAAAACTCTGAGATTTCTTGAGCTTCTTCACTGGTTACTGGAAGTCCTAGTATATCACCTAACAGTTCCTTATCAAACGCAGCTGTTTCTGGTGGGTCCGCGATGCTGGTCTGGCTAGACAAAGTATCACTTCTGCTTGTGCTGCAGCTAGCCACGTCCTCTAGAAGAGCTTCACCTACAATCCCGGAATAATCACTAGCAAAGCTCCGCCGATCTTTAAGCTGGTTTTCATTGAACAATTTCCAAGTGTTCTGGTTGTTACTTGCAAAAACATCTTCATAGTCTTTAGATGACCGGACAGACCACAGTGGCACTTGATCTTGTTGGTATTCTCCAATAAATTGAAGGTTTTCATACAATGTGCCAAGTTCATATTCAGAGCTTCTTTTAGGGAGCATATCTATGAACAAACTGTCTTCACAGTCGTTTAATAGACCTTTTTGAAATTTTCTGTACCGTACTCTCCCTTCATATGAGTGTAAGTCTATCTGTTCAACAGTCATCGAAGATAAGGTATTCGATCCTTCAAGAGCACTCACATTTTCATAGATAGGTCCGATATCACGAGACACGTTCTGATAAATGGGTTCGACCTCAACATCTTTTGGTGAATAATCACTTGCGTTATCAAAGACTGACGAAGGAACTTGAAAAGTCCCAAGATTAATGATTTCTCTCTTTGTAGTATCTTCTGAACATTTCTCTTGCTTTTTGTCTTGCACTGTGATATTTTCAAAGCCGGTTAAAATATCAGTTGAAGGGGCAACACCATTTAACGGGCCATCGTTGCGCGATTCACGTCCTCGTGAGAACACGCTGTCGCTGGACACGTTGGAAAGTGACCGTTTCACACTAGCATCTGAAATGTTACTAATATCACTAGCGATCGATGACGATACTGACTGTACAGTTGGAGGACACAGGGTGTATCTCGGTGAAGACTCTACAATTAAAACAAATGAGTTATTTACACTGTGTAAACTGACATGCACTGCCAACAACAATCAATGGCAACACAACTCGAAGATTGATTGTGTAGACGAATACGGAACGATACGATGAAACAAATCATAATTACTAAACAAATAGAATTTTAAGTAAACGATTTATGAATATAGTTTTTTTCCGTTAAAATCTTATTATTTTAACTTCTGGTTCTGGATAAGCACGGGCGAGCGCCGGAAAGATAAATCCCTGCTAGAGGCTAACAYAGAGCATGTTAATGGACGGGAATGATTTGGAAACCTTTTATTGTACGCGCCTCGTCTTGATTCCTTTGTATGTGACTATTGATGCGTAATTCGCAAGTCGGCTATTCCCTGACCCTGTTTAAGACACTAAAAAATAAAAATCCATACCCTGTTCAAGACAAATCGGAAAAATAAGGAATAGCTATCTACGCCGCAACCATCAAAACTGCAAATATACTGACATCCATCAAAGACAATAAGAAGTTTTTGATAACACGTTAATTCTGGGACAGTGAAACGGTATTTCTACTATTTCTACGGTGTTATGAAAATATTACCCTGTCCAAGACACACAAAAGAATTATATCGGTCTCTTTTATCTAAATTGTAGAGCCTGTTTAAGACAATTTCGGGTGAAATGTATACCCTGTTTAAGACAGCAAGGCCAAAAACCATACCCTGGCCAGCGGCACGTCCCCGTATAGCAAATATATGGGAGTACCCATACCCGTCGGTTTGCACATGACGTCATCAGTCGAAAAATAATCTTAAATCACAGACACACAACATTGCAGCACTAAAATACCTTGAAGAGCATGATAGAAGTTCTCTCCGAAAGTTTAAACTTTTTTTGCTGTATATTCGTTGAGTTATTAACGTTCAAAAATATGTCACGCAATACTGTCACGCGACTTGAAACGCGACAAATAAACCTCAGAAAGCCTATTAAGTTTAAAACAAGTATAGTCTCAGCATTAAATTAAATGTTTAAAATGTTATTGTTGTAAAACTAAAGCAAAATATMACGTGATCAGTGCAAACCGAGAATTCACAGAAGAAAGCAGGATGAAAAAAATATCTCAATGAATTTTGTATTTAGTACCGTGTCTGTTTTCAATTTTATCGTTTGCTTGTGTTTTTTTATTCTGTTGTTTCAATACTCTAAAAGCTRGAATGATCTTACCTGTTTCAGGAAACTGTTCTTCATCGATGACCAATCCTAGTCGTTTTTGACGAGATTTCAGGACATTAATCTTTACTGACAAAGCTGCTACCCATTTCTCAAACTCACTTCTGTTTGCCATCTTAAACACTACGGCGCCATCTTCACCGTACTTCAGCTTTAAAACAAATTTGTTTTCTCCAAAACTACTTTCATTTATTACTTCGATGTTGTTAAGAGGAATTTGTTTGCGAGATGTTTCCATTCTTGGCTGATCATACACAAGCAAGCTTTGGTCGCACAAAACACACCACCGTCGTACCTCGCTACGACATAGTGGACGAGTCACCAGCTCGACAAGATATCCTGAAAACTTTCCATCGTTATCGAACAAACTACCGCAGGAGAACCGCCGCTCTATGTCACGGGCTGGTCCACGGTCATGCGCTTTGGAATTCATTTTCTCCGCACTTCCTTTCCAAGGTACTCTAAAGAGTTCGGCACGCCTGTATTTATGGAGAAGATTATCTTCTGATATTTTTCTCAGTAACTTGCGCCCGCTTGCTTTGCCTTCGCTTAGGGTTTTTCTAAGGGAGCGCTTTTCTTGATGAACAGGCAAATGTCCTTTGAGGTTATCGTCACTGAGTGACTTGGTGGGCTTTGAGCAGCGTGTCAGTGGTGACAATTGATCCTCATGATGTCGACAATATCTTTGTAGCACGCTAAGCCATTGCGCTGCCACTTCCCTGTTATCATGCTGATACAAAAGTTTATCATCATCTCGCTGCAAAGAAAAACCAAATTGATGTACATTTTTTTCTTTGACTTTCCAATCGTTTAAGACTAACTTCCGGCTTGGAGTCCCTTGGTCGTCCGTGTCATATACGAAAAAGAACTCACTGGTTACAGCGCACCATTTCCTTGCGACATCTGCAGATGGAGGGGCTATTTCTTGCAGGTGCCCGTTCATAAGAGTGTCTATGGACCCATCGGAACTCGTTGATATCAAGTCACTTCCGAATGAGACCACAGAAAGACGTTTTTCTGGCGAAGAGGCAGCGGATGAAATATCAGATGCAGTAGCAAAGCCACTAAATTTGTTCAGCGATCCACTACCGGTCCTTCTGTGGCCAAAAACTCTTGGTGGTGACGGGAATCGACACTTGGAACTCTCGTGATCATGTTTCCCATAAGACAAAACTGCATTTTGGACTTGCTTGATCCATCGTTCGTAATCTAMCTTACTATTTGCCATTAAGGTAATACTATCGTTCCATTTATGAATCTTGAATTTAAAAATATCTTTGTCTGGTTCGCATGACTCTTCAAGTCTAATATTATACAAAGGGATGCGTTTGATAGCCTCATCGCATTCACTATCAGTGAATATTAACAGTTCAGAATTTTTTATAGTACACCACCGCACCCTACTCCAAGTGTAATGATCATCAGTGATGTATACTTCAGTTAGTTGGCCGCCAGTGAAATTAATAAATTTCACATCTTCAACTGGTACTTCTCCAGAATTAGGGTTATCGTCAAACTCATAAGACTGCGAACGTTTAAATAAATCAATAACGTTAACYTTTTGTGGTAGTTTCATACGAATGGAAGATTTTTTTGTAAATGTGTTCACAGACACAACTTCATCTTTTTCTCTAATAGAGCTCTTCTCTGRTTGTTCGGCAGGGACAGTCGGCGATGGACGCTCTACTCTGATTTCGGTAAAAACACGCAACACTTCCAGCCATTTATCAAAGTCTTCTTTCCCAGAAACCTGAAATGTAAAAGTCCTGCCATCTTTGTCATTAAGTTCAAATGAGTATTTATTTTTGCATTCTTCGTCACTTTGCGACAGCCACATTTCTGCCAAGTTTAACATGACAGCTGGCTTTTCATCGGTTTGTTGTTTATTATAGAGATTTAGAACTCCATTTTTCACAATACACCAACGACGTAGCTGTGTTCGACTGTACTTTGAAACCTTGACCTCAGTTAGAAAACCACTGAATCGACCTTCTCTGTCTAGTAACGACAGCAGGTGCGAGTAGGACTGGATATTAGTCTTCTTGAGGACGTTCAGTCGGTTTTTGGATGCTTCAGAAGAAGTGCCTGCAATCATGGCAGACAAACTCTGTCCACGAGTGAAACGTGACTGCTTTAGTTTGAGAGACTCCGCCCAACCTTTAGGTTTGTCCTTTTTTACGTCATTAGATGGAATCTGTTTGAAGGATGTAAAGTATTGTTACTGAGACATAATCATCCCCTAAAAATGTCCATGCAGGCGGCGAGCGCACTACGATCACAAGAGGACAGGTTGTGAGCGGAAAACATTTTCAGGGTTTTTTTTTTTTTTTTTTCAAGAAAAGATTCACTTTTCGTCAGCCAATCAGAATCGAGAATTTGTTTATATTATTTTTTTAAACATCGAAATTCAAACTGGAAAAGGGCGAACTCGACTGGCTAAATTTATTAGTGCAAGTCTAGGGACGTTATGTTAGCTTAATCAAGACTTAGTTTTAAAAAATACGATTTCAGTCCATTATAAAAATTATGGTTTCAGTAATGCGAAGTCGGTAAAAAGTAATCAAATTGASAGTTCGATGGGCCTGAGATGAATAGCTCACAGTTGTTGGAGATAAGTAATGATAGTTTGAATGAATATCATTGCAGATCACATTCTATCGCGACACCAGAAGGTTCATTCTCACTATGTGATTAGCTAATGCTGATTACGAAGAATCTTATTCGCGGAACTGTGAGGTGATTGACAGAAGAGACGAAAAATTATGGGTTCGCAAACTGATCTTAGTACCGTTTCGGCACTATACAGGCAGCCGTTTTTTTTTTTGTTGGCACAAGAAAACCAATCAATTCAATAATGTCTCGCTTGAGACATTCAGAATCTCTAATTAAAATACTATGTTCTAGACAAAAAAAGATCACATGAAAGTGAGCTTAAACAGTCAAACAACATTGGTTCACACTGATAATAAAAGAAGCCCAAATGCATTGTGATTGTAGAGCGCACATCACTTCTCCATGTWCCAAAATGCCAAACAACTATTAAAATGAACACAACGAACAACTAAACAACATAAAATACCATAGATACAACACATCTACCGACCGATAACGCGTCCATCCTTCAAGACGCAAATCAAACCAATACACCGCCACCTCAAAACGTTTCACATATCACATACACTTGTGTCAACTTTACATCTATACAACAGCACAGCAATCCATCTAACTCTCACCACATCAAAGCTACACAGATACTGTGACCAATCATCAAGAATATATCAATACAACATTCCACATATATCGCTACCAATTGAACGGTCATGTAATTCATACCCTGTTATCAAGTTTGCCTTCACCTCCCGAATCACTAGTGAGTATTCTTTGATCAACGTACGAAGAATCTAGAAAGATTTGGACAAATTTGTTGGTTGAATTTTATCTTCGCATGTTGAAATTCTCTTTGATCTTTTCAACACGCGAAGATAAAATCCGTATCTCTACGCGCTTATGTAATATCCTCCATTTATGTTCTTTTTTATATCAAATTTTGGGCTGATTTCACTGAAAATTAACTACATGTATTATTTCTTGGACAAATTTGTTGGTTGAATTTGTTGCTCGCAACACTGTACCTTTGCTCGACGTTTCATTCGTCTTCTTGTCGTCTTTTCTCCTTAGAGCTCTTTCTCGTACTCCACCTTTAACGTGACGAGTTGATCTACGTGGTGGTGACTTAACACGACGTTGAGTTAACTTGTGATGTGAACTATCGTCCCTAGGAATGACAAATAATGTAATAGTCGACTTTAGATATTTTGGTTCAGTGACCATGCACAAAAGAATGCAGACGAGGCTCTGGGAAATAAAAGAATAAATCAAGATWATCCACTGTTTCCCTGGAGCCTCGTCTGAAACTCTTTTGTTCAAAGTCGGCTATTAAGCAGCAGGAGATCTAATGTTCGACAGTATCATAATGCAAGAAGCTCTATCAATCTACATTGGTCTTATATCACTTCCAATTGTCAACGTCTGTAATGTATGTCCAATTATGTTACCTGGCATCACTAGACAACTCCTCGTCCAGTTCATCTGCAGCAAAACAACTGGTGTCGTCATCTATCCTACTTCTATGACTAGTGAAGTCAGTAGCATCACCACTTTCAAGGGCATCCTGAATACGTTTATAACCATTAATAAATAATAACATTAATAACAACGTGATGATCAGTGAGTACATCATCAATCACGATTCTACATTCAAGTCTAAAATCATAAATTAATATATAATAACAAATCTAAAGGAAGAGGAACAAAAAGCTGGTAAATAATCCTCTTCATTCAGTTATGATGCCTAAAATACAAAATCCTTTTTTTTTAGTTAGCTGCATGGTCAGTAAACATTGTCAATTCTCGATTAACCATCTAACCTCATCAAAATTCAAGGAATCGTGCGACTTTGTTAATTGTTGTTCATCAGATGAGTCAGCCTTAAAGTACGGTGGGTAAGGAGCTATAATGTCATGTCTGCCTGTAGCTGCCAGGGATAGTAGCTCAATCCATCTTTCCACAGCCACCCTGGAGTCTGTGGCAAAACTGTAACTTTCTAGGCTGGGGTGAGATACTTTAAATCCATATGCTTTCTTGGATTCCTTGCTATCGATCAAACTGATGTCATGGTCAAGGAGATCAATTGTTAGTGACGGCTTTATGTCATCAGCATGCCTAGATATTACAAAAAAAACATTGAAACTTTTCGTTAAGATGTTTTATTAACCAAAATGATTCTTCTGCCAAATGATTATACTAGTGGGTTTTTTTGTCTAATAAATTTAATTTCAATAGCAATTATTGTTTACCTGTAACACAGTATTTGTTTATGCATTAGTTTACAGTATCGCTTCGACCAGACACCAAGGGGCCGCTTTTGAAACAGTACTCCACTATGAATGGCTAGAGGGTCCTGTAAAAACTTGGCTTCACTTTCAGCAGATGTCTGCTTTCTTCTCCTCTTTGTCCGTGGACCATTGGAAATACTTGATTTTCTAGTATACTTAAAACACCAAATAAATACAAATTTAAATCACTTGTGTCTAAACATTTTGGCCATCAGAGTACTACCTTCACTCATTTTACATTTTCTCATTTTAATTTGTTTTTATCAGAGCATGTCATAAGGAAGGGCTGAAGGCTGGTTATGAGGTGAACTTTTTGGCTCATGTATTCTTCCTAAATCTCACCTTTCTTGATTCAACTCATTAAATGAAATCTGTATAGTTCATGCAACAATAATCACAACTGTTACCTGTTGTTTGGCGGTAATTTCTGAACCAGAACCCCCTGAATCCAAACTAGCATTACTCAGGGCTTTAGAAGACCTTTTTCTTACAACCTTTTCACACTTGGCCTCATCACTAACAAATGACTCACTGAAACTAAGGCAGTGATTACTCTGATCACTAGGGCTGTCAGTGCCATCATCCAACAAAGATTGCCTTTTTCTATCAAAAAGTCCTTGTTCTAACTGTTTGCTTGAAGTAACTGCATCTTCACCATCTGCATAATCAGAACTAGTTTCTGATGATGAGTCAGAGTCAATGGGTAATGGTGGTAAAGGTGGATTGTATGCCTCGCTTTCATGGACAGGAGTAGACTGGTAACCAGTGATCTTGAACATTTCCTTGATAAAAAACAACGTTATCTTATTAGAATGGATTGTGTGTAGCAGGAATTTAAATAAAGAATCCAAAGCATCTCTCAATAATCATTCCAAAATGTAATGTGATTGTTATCTAATGCTTATCAGATACAGTAAACACCCGAAAAGAAGAACCACTTGGCAGAAATTTTCCATTTTAATAACCCTTATCAAATTCATTAATAATTCATAAGGTAAACACAATGGAAAATCATTGCCGTGACCGCATCTTTATATGAGCAAGAGATTTGTCCTGATTAGCATACAACTTTAAATTCGATTTTCTTTTACAAATGATATTTTATCCTGAAGTTTTTTTCGAAACATGTTTTATCTTATGTTGGAATTTGATAATTAAGCAATATAAAATATTCGTGTCTGGCCTTTATGGGCTATAAAACTGCTTGCTTGCAGCTCGCAGTTTTAAATGCCCATAAAGGTCTCCCGCTCATATTTTATTACTTAATAAGAACCTCTTTAGTCAAACATTATCAAGCAGGTTCTTATAATATTAATTAGAGCTAAATTACAGGATAAACAAACCACAAGTTACTCAATTTGAAGATTGCGTACAAATACTTTTACTGCATTTACAGTTGTTGAGTTGATTGTTTACTTGTTACAGTAGTTAAAAGTTACAGTTATACAAAACATTATAGTATTATATAATTTTAGTCCATATCAAGCTTATTTATTATTCTTATAATATATGTGCAAAACAATAACAACTGGATCCCSCTATTAGCAATTAAGAACCTAATTGTAAGAACCTGTTTTTCCAAAGTTACCAACAGCTACCCCTTAAAACAAGAACCTCTTTTGGCAGACTTTCAAAAAACAAGGTTCTTATTTTCAGGTGTTTACTGTATCGTGTTTGGTATCTTGTCTGTGAAGTCAGACACCAGTACATACTGTATCAGAACATTATAAATCGTTAAAATGATATAAATGACGCCATTATGACGTCACATTTAGTTCCTATGGATCAATGGGCCAAGACTATTTTTGGAGCTTCTTTGTACGTGGGCGATCATTGTGTGCCCCCCCCCCACCCCAGTCACAGATTGAAAAAAAAGCCCAGACTGAATAGGGTTAATCTTGAGTGGCAAGACATCTTGCAAAGTCCACTTGTGAGTTCACTTACAGAAGAGGTAAAATAAGTGTACATGTATGAAAATAATGATAACAAGCTTACAGAGAAGGACTCCATTGGTACTTCATAAGTACTCCCTCCATCTTCATTGTCATTTGATGGAATGTTGATCTTCATATAGCCATAAGGTGATTTGAGTGTCTGTGGTTGTGATAAAGTAAAGGCCTTTTCCAAGGGACTAATAGGTCGGTAGGAATTACTGCGGCGCACAGCAGCTGCCATGATGGCACTCATCCAAGGTGACAAATCATGGCCCTCTTCAATGGCAAGTTGAACTAAAGGGGCTCCACTTTGACGTAAACTATAAAATAACATTACTAATCAGGTATGTCGGAATTATGCACGGATGCGGACGCGCATAATTGCCCCCTTTCCGCATAATTTACCAAATCGTGCATAATCGCGCATAATTCATGATTTTTTTCCATGTTATACCATTTTTTAAGATGAATTGCCTTCTACTAATGTTTTTTTGATCAAAAAACGCTCCCAAACATGCTTATAAGGCCTTAWAATTTTCCGAATATAGTTTTGTTTTCGTGGGCTTCACAAATGTACCAGGCGTTCAAAATTTCATCAGAAAAGAGTCTGGGC